TTTACTAAATGTAATACTATATTAACGATTCTTAACCTTCATAAAATATATGCTGATCATTTATCACTATTAATGAACCCCACAAACAATAGTATAGCGTTTAAAAGCAGAACTTGAATGCATTTTTATACAATTCTCAGCAGGCATGCAAAATTCAGCATAACATTTTGCGTGTTTCAATGGTTTTCCCCATGGAGAGTCGGGAGGGAAAGCAGCCACCACGTAAAAACCTTGCTTTGTTTCATTTAGTCCGTCAATATGTGGAAATCGTATGTACCTGCCCATCCTGCCTGACATTGCACTAAGTACTTGGGACAGCACACCTGAAAAACTGCTTTGGGAAACCCCAGCAGAAACAGCTACAGTATGCTGTGGCGACCCTTTTCTATGGCCAGGCTGTGTTCACTCAGTCTGGATGTTGGCAACACTTCTCTTAGTTTAGGACATTTTATTGTGCTCAGGTAGTTTGCCAGTGTGAATTCTATTTTTAGGGTCAGATAACATTTGTTATTTCAACAATAACGCATGGCTCAACACAGAAGGGCCAACTCCTCAGGTCAAGACTCTGCAGTCTACTTACATCTGAAGGACAGAGGACACTCATTTGAGGACCACCAGGTGCACATTTTAGACAGAGAAGATGGATGGTTTGAAAGAGGTGTCAAGGAAACCATCTACACCCGGGTTGAGAAGCCGTCATTGAACATGGGAGGGGGTCTACGCCACCACTTATCCCCCACTTACAATACTGTCCTTTCATCACTTCCCAGGAAACTCAACACACGTAACCTATTGGCCTCAGGTGAAGATGCCAACAATGGTCGTTCAGTCTCGGCCACAGGTAGTCCTAACGACCGTAAGGACTATTGTTACAACAACCAGGAACACTAACGAACCTGCAGTATCGACGATCCTGGCAAACAACCCCACTGAGGTTAAATAGCTGAGTTTCCCTACCAGTCAGTCAGAACTGATAAAGTCCCTTGGATGAGGGACGAAATGTCTTCCACTATCTTCAACCAAGTCCAGTTGCCCTTGACTTTAACCTTCTTTGGATATCTGGTATATAAGCTACTTATTATTTAGTTGGACACTAAAATAGCTAAACCTACTGTGTGAAAACCTTTCACTGTAAGTGGTGCTGTTATGCCATGAATTATATTACCAGAAGGGAAAAACACCTGCAGATTTGGAGTGGTCCATAGCCCTGTACTTCTCACCAGTATACGCTGATCGGACAATGCTGGCTGGCCTGGATTACAACCACCGTGTCCACAGACCAGCTAGGAGAAAAGCTGATGACACAACTAAGTATGTTGCATTTTTATTGCATTTTACTCAATACATTTATAAGTAATGGGTCAAAAAATATTAAATAGTATGAGGAATACAGATAGATGGTGCTAATTTATTGTTTTGATTGCATTTTATGTGGAAATGCTAAATACTGTATAAGAGAACAATGACAGGTGTTACAAGTTTTCACTAAGCTGATTCTCCTTTCTGTATTTTCACGTACAGCAAGGTGTACAACAAAAGTCCAGGAAGTGGTGCTTGTACTCATTGAAGGTGGAGAAGGATTACAGTTACATCTCAGACCTCCTCCTCTGATGGTTGTCTACTACTGAGGAGATGCCTAGAAGCAGAACCGGGAGACCTGATGATCCCTGTCAACATGGGGTTCAGTCAGGTGTCCCTACCCCAACTGTATTGCTAGATACAGCAAAAAGTACAACATAAAGTAATATGATTGGTTTTGAAATATGGTAATTATGTCAGAGAGGTGATTGTGATATATTAAATTAATTAATCTCCACAGCAGCGATACAATGCTACATACAAACTGAACTGTCTTCATAATCAGTCAAGATACAGACACAGCTTATCTTTCTTCCTCTATATACTTATTTTTAATGATGTTTATCTATTTGTGATATAGTTTGTAGTATTAGTAGTATATAATAACAATAAACAAGTGTTATACCACATTTGGATGTCATTATTGGAGACATAAGACCTAAATGTATTTGCTTGATTGTTTATGCTGCAAGTGTAAAGAAAAGGCATTTATCATTTTCAGTGTTTTATTTAAAAAAAGATGAAAATATTATCCAGAACCGGGAACAATATACCTTGTATTTTCTCTACCCTCCTGGGAATAAAACATAAACAAGGTACATGTATTCATCCACACAGTGGATGGAATTATTTGTAATTATTAGTGACATTACATCTTACACCCTGCTAGGATTAAACCTCTGTTTTGTTGGAGTGTGAAGCTGGATGCAGGTCCTAGAATATGTGGTCCTTGGCTTGCACCTCGTCCTCCCCGTCCTCTGCCTCTTCTTCCTTGGACCCTGGCTGCCCGCCCTCCTCTGCTTCGCCTCTGTGCTTGGCTCTGGAGTGCAATCCTCATCAGAGACAATAATGCTTTCACCGTGGAAGCTCTAACATGCAAAACAACGTACATGTTATGAGTCTAACACGAAATTCATGTTTGTGTAGTGTAACAGGATGATGATGGAAACAGGAAAATGTGTATCTGTACCTGTTTTTAGCTTTGCCTTAATCAATAGCCTAATTTCAAATTTAGTGATTACTGTAGGAACCAAAACCTGCATCCGCTCATTTCCTTTATTTCCTTAGAGTCATATTCTTTTCACAATAGCCAAACAGCATTTACATTGAACCCTATCAATTCTGTTCTAACTTCCGTTTATTGCATTCTTGTTGTTGACTAATCATTGTTGTTTATCTTCTTTATATGCATATTTTCTCTCACTTATGTTCACGCTAGTAGATTATAATGCGGGTTTATGCATGGAAGATTCCCTCCTCTGAATTGAGACTGAATGATTTAAACTGACTGAACAATTGATAAATAACTGATCACTTTTACCTAATTGTTATTAAAGCTATACCCAAGGATCCCTGAGACCTTGGGCGGACAGCGATGTTAGAATTTGTAACGAGTGCATACGAAATTAATATGTCCAAGTATTAATATTCATTTTTTTTTAAACAAAGTGAAGGTACACTACAATAGCTCAGGACTTAGAGTTCTCCGGCACTGTGTCAGAATTCCGTCGTGAGGCATTTTTGTATTCGACAATATATAAATATGTCTGTGGAAAATATTCATGAAAGAAAGGGGACTGACTTTTCTTGCATACCGGTGGGCTCTATGTGGTGCTCATCTGTTCCCATTCTCGCCTGTTTGCTAATCTCTGTTGGCAGGGACGGAGCAGGTAGAAACTCGGTGCCTTTCATGCAGCCGTGAGCCCCCATGTGAATGAAGAGTACCAGCAGGGCTGCGCAAAAAAACAATAATGATTATCGCAATATAATTTTCCTCAGTAACAATATAACAAATGTTTAATAAGTGTTTGATTTAATTAATTTGAATCACTAACAAATCAGCACTTTAATTTGTTGAGGAAAAGGGACTGAAAAAAAGATTACTTCATTGAAATTTACTTCATAATTGTTTTTAATGTTTTACCTCAGATTTGTTAAGTGATCCTAGTATTTCCCACAGTGGCACCAGCTATAAACAACGTGCTAACCTCGACAACCCAGCTGTATTATAACGTTAACTTAGCTCTTCTTATTAGGTAGTCTCCTTACATGCTTTCTAATAACTTTTTTTTTAAGCTGGGTGTCCAACAGCGTCGTGTTGGACAGATTTGTGTAGCACTGTTCATGAGGGAGAAAGAGAGAGGGACGAACAAAAGGATGTGCTGAGCGAATGCGCTACAGCGCTCTGCAATCAAATATGATTTTAAATAGGCCTAGTAAAAAAAAAATCGAAAATCAGTATGTGGCGGGCAGCGTTAATAATATATATATAATATGGGAAACACTGGATCCACTGTTTGGATTTAAGTGTTTGTTCTGAGCATAATAATAGTTTAAAACTACAATTAACCATCTGGTTTCTTCAACTTTCACTCAGGAGCAAAAATCTGCCTTAAAATGACTTGACATTTATCATAAGAATAGTCGATATTGAATGATGTGAAATGTTTTATCGTGATAACATTTTAGGCTGTATTGCCCAGCCCTAAGTACCAACACCTATATTTTCCACTTCAAGCACTGATTATAGGTGGTGGTAGAATGAAGGAAATGAACTGTTTAATGCTCAAAATCTTATAGGGGAGGACCCCCAGCCCCACCTTCATGTATTTCCAGATTGAACGTTTTATAAAACTAGTGTACAATTATCTTCTCTTCTTCTTGTTGTAAACCTTGAATTGTATTTCCTCATGTTTCGTGAGCTAAGTGTATGTCACACCCCCAAGCTGAGTCCCTATGTCCCCTTACCTTCCATCTTTGTTGTAAACCCCGAACACATTTCAGGCACAGAAATTTTAGAGGGGGCCTCTAAAATATTGACAGCATGCTTTATTGACATTAATTTCTATATTTCTCTATCATCATGGATCCAGGGGTAAAATCAGGAGTGTCAGACTTCATCCAGCTAGAGGGCCGGTCGCTCTGCGATCTCCTGTCCCTGTATGCTCCACCGCCCCACTGCCTCTCTGGTTGTGTCGCTTGTACTAACGACACGCTGTGAATGGTCCGTGATCGTTCTCTCTGGCTGGATGAATATTATGCATGATCCATGCACTACTGCAGCTGGGGGCTCTCCCTAGCATCACACAACTTTCTAAATTCTTCCCTCTCACGGGATAAAGAAAGGTCAGGTCGCAAACACAGCTGCAGCTGTTGTGTGAAGCAAAATTGTAGCAAAATGGCTGTATATGATAATAATATAAGACAAACATGCCTGATACTTTCACAGTCAGCCCCAGGCCTACATGCTTGCAGCTATTAATCATTCAGCAGTAAGAATCACAGTCTGTCCCCTCCCCCGTCCCAGGGGGGAAAAAAGTGAGCTCCCCCAAAAGCTATGGTATAGTTTGCACACTGAGGAGCATGATGTCATAGCCTAACTCTAATCCCACTGGCTCTCTCTCTCTTTTTGCCTATTCCAGATAGTGTGGCGAGATTAAGGGAGAGCTGAACCGAGGGTGGAGAGGCAGCGGGGCTACCATCCTCTATTTTTTCCTTCCGCCCTGTGGAAGCACTCAACCACAACACACTCATCATCCTTTTTCCTCCTTTCCATTCTGTCACTGCACTCGTTCTCTCACTTTTTATCCATCTAACTGTCCATCTTACTTGATGAATAGGTCAGTGGAACCTACGCCCCGCAGACCTGTATAGACTTTTTAGTGAACATCAGTGAATTCAATTATTCAGGCTGTAGAGCTGCCAACAGAGATCATCCTACTCAGGCAATGCAGTAGTATATCTGAATACAATACTTGACCTGCCCCCCAGCCCAGAGTCTGGCTCAGTCCCACCAGGTCCTATAAGCAATAAGGGCCAGGGGATTCATCTCTTTCTAGACTTTCACTTCTCTACCTTGTGTCTTCATGGTTTGGGGGTCCTCCGGTGCCCCCGCCCTCTGTCGACCCCCCCGCACCCGCTGCCACCACGGCCGGCCACCCCAGTCGCCTTGTTGCCATGCCGACAGAGACACTGGCTCCAGCCCTTCCAGATAGCAAGGCAGCTGGCCCCGCGACGCCCTTCACTTCCACCGTGCCCCTCCGCATCCTCAATAAGGGTCCTGACTACTTCAGGAGACAGGTACTGTTCCATTTCTCTATGGGGTCTGCTGTGTGTGTGTCAGTATTAAAATGCAAAAAACAGTTTTTACTGCTGGTGAAACAACGAAGGTTATACCATAATCAAGCATTTGTCTCCGTCGGAAGATTTTAAGCATTAAACTTGTAATTTCCTACATTCTGGAGACATTTTCTGCTCCAATTTACAGTGGAAATGTCTGTTTTTTTATGAGGGAAAACTATATTGCACTGCATGTTTTCTTATTGTGTAAATCAATTGGTGCAAGCTATTTTTCAGAACATTTTTAACAAATGCTTTCAAAAAGTGATGGGGACAAAATCAGCCATTTTAAAATGTGGTGGGGACATGTCCCCAGCGTCCCCAGTGTAAATGACACCTATAGGGTCAGTGGACCAGTTAGGGTCAGACAGCAGTGTGGAGCTGTGTGCTTGTGTTACGAGTAAGTAAGTAAGTAATTTCATAGCTAGGCTACTGTTAGCAGTGTTGGGCAGGACCTCCACTAATATTACTTTTCTCATTTTCCATTTACTCATTTTCCCATTAACTGGTAGTGTAACGAAATACTATTTACAAAACAGTAATAGTATTACAGTTAGCCTACTCATCCAAGTAACGCTGCAGTACTGAGTTACTGAATGCACCATCCTTGGCGTGAAAGCGTGACTGGGCGGCAAGTCAGCTGCACTGGACCTGATGTTATTCAAGTCTATATTACTTACATAATCTCAGCATATTCAATAAATTTTCATATTGTATAGTTTACCTCTAGTTTAGGCTTATTATGAATATTATATTCCAGTTACCAGTGTTGGGAAGTAACTAGTTACATGTAATTTAATTACAAATTAACTGTAACTAAAATGTTTCAGTTACTGGGGAAAATGTGCCTTTAAATCACAGTTAGTTATGAAAATGATAACATTGGGGGTTACATCTGAATATTTTCTATAAAAAGTTCAGCTATATATTGAATCATATTAATTTTATTGCTTTACATGTTTTTCATGTGCACAATGTCTTTCTTTGCCAGTTCCAGTCACAGCTGTTTAGTAAAGTTTGATGCTGTTCTGATGCTGATTGGTTCTCATGTCTGAATTTGCAGCACCACCATCTGCCAGTTAAACTGCTTCTCAACAGTTATTAGAAATTTAGTAATATATTAGTATATATTATAATATTAGTAATTTAAGTAATGAAATGTGATACATTAAATTATTTTGAGAGAGTAATTGAAATAGTTAACCTAGGCTACTGTTACATTTTAAATAGGGTAACTTGTAACCTAGTACATTTCCAAAGTAACCTTCCCAACACTGCCCACTGTTACAGCAGTTTCATTTTTGTGGAATGTTTCCATTCATATAATCCATGTGCAAGAAAAACATTGGTCTCTAATTTATTAATGCTAAGTAAATACTTAATCAATAATCATAACCATTCATACAGAACAATTATAGTAGGTTGTAGTCTTTACTTGCACACTGTGCTCGTAAATCATTTTTCTGCTTCTCGAGTGAAATACTCTGTAGAGCCCGAGGGTGCCGTTGACTTCCCATCTCTGTTACAGCTAAAGTTCTAACGTTACACACTGCAACTGGCTGGGAAAGTAGCAAACATTTCTAATACGCACAGTGTTTTTTTTTTTTTAGAAAGGTTAAAAATACAGGAGAATCCTGGGCAAATCGGGAGGGTTGACAGGTAAATGTAAACGCTCCGTATAGCACCTTTCTAGTCTTTACGATCACTCAAAGCATTTTTACACTACATTTGCATTCACCATTCACACAGTGAGCCTAAGTGCTCAAACAGAAACTAACATTCACACACTAGCGGAACAGCAATTCAGGGTTCAGTATCTTGCCCAAGGACACTTCAATATGCAGCCTGGAGTAGCCAGGGATTGAACCGCCGACCGTCCGATTAACAGGCAACCCGCTCTTCCTCCTACCTACCGCCGTTCATGACGCTACCAGGGATGTACTGGTACTAAAATTCAGCCCGGGACTTTGAGATGGAGAGGGCTTTTAATGCAAGTTTGCAGTTTTATTTTAATACTAATAGTGTTTTGCTGAAGACCTTCAAGAAACTTTAGGATGACACCTGCCTCTTCAGTTTGTATAAGCAAGGCACCACTGCACTGAACAAGACCAGGTCAGGCAAACCTGAGCTGGAACACTTAAGTTATAGAATACTGTTACCAACATGTCATGTGTACAGCCAGTCAGAGTGTTAAAAATATTTAGGCCTAAATATAATCAAAAACTACAACACAGTCCCATAAAATAGAGCAGTGTGTGTGTGTGTGTGTTTGCATAAAAATCAAATCCCTCATCTTCAGCACTGAGCAGGCCTACATCTGGCTCAGCTTCCCCTGTGCTGGACTCTGCCTCTGCTTGTACTGATTGTACAGCTACATATGCATGAGAAGAACATCAGTAATAAATGTGATTAACAATAATACATTTTCTAATTCTATCTCTATTCCTGCACACTGCCCCTGTACCTGTCACTGTTTGTCTTGTTCCATTGTCCTTCTCCTCCTGCAGCTTCTCCTCTTCCTTCTCTCCCACCTCATCAACATGACTATTTTATCATCACCCTGTCCCTCTGCATCACCTCCACTGATCTTAACAGCTAAATACATATAGACACACATAGATTCCTTGCTTATAGAAGGATGTTGTCTTTGATTGATAACATGCAAACTGTTTATAATATATATATATAATATTATATATATATATTTATGCCTAAATAGAAATAAATATAAATTATTTCAGTATATAATAAATGCATTACTAATTGTGCACCTATTTCTTCTGCTGCTTGGTCCTGCCTCATCTGCGCCTGCCACAGCCACTTTTTCCACCAAGGAAGCAGTCGGTTAATTTGGTGCCTTTTGTGCCGACATCTTTTTCTTTTCTTCTTTTTCCTCTTTTTTTCTTTTCACCTTTCACCTCTCTGTTGCACTTGTCACACAAACCTGGGCTGAGTTCAGTGTCACCGACAAAACGTAGCAAACCGGTGCAAAAGGTTCTGGATTAAACTCGCTCCAAAGTAAACTCCTTTAATAGGCGCCATTGAGCCAATCAGAATTCAGCAGAAAGAGGATCAGTCGTTGTTGTAGCAGAGGGTGTCTAGCAGGAACACGGGGGCAGCAGGTGACCCGCAGCCACAGATCTAGACTCCACAGCTCCAGAGCCAGAAACACCTGCAGGAAGTGATATGAGGAGAGAGGAGAGGGACGAGAAAGCACAAGACTACCAGAAAGGGGAGATGTCGCGTTAGTAACATGCAATAATGGGATGAGGTTGCATACAGAGGGAGAGAAAGTAGAGGAGAGAGGAGCTCAGTGCATCATGGGAAGTCCCCCGGCAGTCTAGGCCTATAGCAGCAATAACTAAGGGATGGTTCAGGACTCCCCTGAGCCTAGAAGTAACAAATGCATGGACTAGTTTTTCTGCATAATTTTTAGACAGGATGTTCCTGATTTTCGCAATATTATGTAGGTGAAAAAAGGCTGTCCTTGAAATTTGCTTAATGTGAGACTTAAACGACATGTCCATGTCCAAAGATAACTCCAAGATTCCTCACAGATGTGCTGGAGGCCAGGGCGATGCCATCAAGGGAAACTATATTTTTAGATAATGCGTCACGGAGGTGTTTGGGCCCCAGAACAATAACTTCAGTTTTATCTGAGTTTAACATTAGAAAATTACAGGTCATCCTGAAGACACATTTGAAGTTTAGCTAACTGATGAGTTTCATCTGCATAACAATGAAAGTTTATGGAATGTTTCCTGATAATATTGCCTAAAGGAAGCATATATAAAGTGAAGAGGATTGGTCCAAGGACAGATCCTTGTGGAACTCCATGACTAACTTTGGCGTGCGTGGAGTACTCATCGTTAACATGTACAAACTGAAATCGATCTGATAAATAGGACTTAAACCAGTTTAGAGCTGTTCCTTTAATGCCAATGAAATGTTCCAGTCTCTGTAATAGGATCTGATGGTCAATGGTATCAAATGCAGCACTAAGATCTAATAAAACCAGTACAGAGACAAGTCCTTTGTCTGATGCAATAAGGAGGTCGTTAGTAATTTTCACCAGTGCTGTCTCTGTGCTATGATGAGCTCTAAATCCTGACTGAAAATCCTCAAATAAACTATTGCTCTGTAGAAAGTCACACAGCTGTTTAGCAACTGCTTTCTCAAGGATCTTAGAGAGAAATTGAAGGTTAGATATAGGTCTATAGTTGGCTAAAACATCTGGATCAAGTTTGGGCTTTTTCAGAAGAGGTTTAATTACAGCTACTTTAAAGTACTGTGGTACATAGCCTGTTGATAAAGATAGATTGATCGTATGTAGTATAGAAGTGCTGACTAGGGGTAAAACTTCTTTAAGCAGCCTAGTCGGGATGGGGTCTAAGAGGCAGGTTGATGGTTTAGATGAAGAAATTATTGTTACTGTATTATTAAGTTAGTTGGTAAAGATTGAGGGAAGCAAAGCAGTCTAAACATATATCTGGTTCTACAGCTGTTTCTAAGGTTCCTGAGTTTAGAGATAAGTCTTTGCCAGTTGATTGGTCTTGGTGAATTTTGTTTCTAATAGTTAGAATTTTATCATTAAAGAAGCTCATGAAGTCGTAATTACTGAGAGCTATGGGAATACATGGCTCAATAGAGCTGTGACTCTCTGTCAGCCTGGCTACAGTGCTGAAAAGAAACCTGGGGTTGTTCCTATATTCCTCTATTAATGACGAGTAGTACGCTGCTCTGGCATTACGGAGGGCCTTCCTATAAGTTTTAAGAGTACAGGTGCTGGTCATATAATTAGAATATCATCAAAAAGTTGATTTATTTCAGTTATTCCATTCAAAAAGTGAAAATTGTATAATGTATACATTCATTCCACACAGACTGATATATTTCAAGTGTTCATTCCTTTTAATTTTGATGATTATAACTGACAACTAATGAAAACCCCCAAATCAGTA